TCAAGAGGAGTGTGGAGTGCTGTGGCCTCGTGGTTAAGGGCTTTGGATTCGTGGTCTGCGGGTAAAGCTGCAGGTTGTGGGTTCGAGTCCAGCCTGGGGTCATGGTGCGTGTGCCCTTGGGCAAGGCACTTTGTCACTCATTGCTTCTCCCCACCCAGGAGTAATAGGCTCTCAGCTTTGGTCCAAAAAATGGGCCACCGGTACCAGACGATCGAAAAGAGCAATTAATGCTCATAGCGATTTTTTGAAAGGCACATCTAGAGTTGGAGAAGTGTGATAGCTTTGCAGTGTGAGTGGTGGCAGTGTTATCACTTTTGATTTGTGTTTTCAAAATTGCCGTCAATATGCTTGAACAGGATGAATTGTATTGTAACAAGCATGTTTTGGCTGCCATTTAAAAAAAAATTAAAAAAGTGATAGCACCCAAAAAGCTGCCACCGCTGCAATGCTGTCACATATTTTCCGACTAGAGGGGTGCATACCTTGCCAAAAATCACAATGAGCATTATTGCCCTCGTTTGATACTGACCAAACCCCCACACTGATGGCTTATAAGTGGGTGCCTATGAGGGCAGAGATGGTGTGGTTGATTTAGCTGCTTTGCTCCGACTTGTAGCCCTGTATATCTGGAGTGGCTTTTAGCCTTGTTCAGGGCAAATAGGCATAAAAAACAAGTCTAAAACCCGGATGGGGATCTCTCTGTGCCTCCTAGACCACTGTTTTGGTGGGAAACACGTTGTTTTACCATTATTTAATTGGAGTGGGTTTCGTTTCTCTTGTTTTCCAGATTTTTGTGCTCATTCAGAGTGAGAAGATCAAGAATGACTACACGTGTCTCTGGTTGGCAAGATGCTGTGAGTATTACCGTCAATTGTGAATGACGTTTCCTCTTCCAACTTCCAAGTTGCTAATGATGGGAATGAATCCACCTGTTAAGCCTCAACTCATAATGTATTGACCACTCACAATTGTGACTGCACAACCAAATGTCCAACTAAAGTCACGACACGTCGCGTGCATGCATTTCATGTACTGCTGGAAAATCCAGAGTGGCATTAGGGAGATGCACATGTTGCCCATGTGTGAGGTAGACTGAAGGGTCTCTAACAATGACATAACCAGCATGCAATCATCGCCCTGATTGTATATTAAGGATGTGACTTTGCGTTTCATTGTGTAAATGTAAAGCAAATATTTTAAGAACCGTTTTAAACGTTTAGCCATTGACAGTGGCTTTTGCCTACCCATTATGTCTGATCTGCAGACCGGCGTGATTGACATGATAAATCAACAATGGTTGACATAGTAAATAGCAGGCAGTCGTTGATAAAGTAAAAATGTAACTACGTGTTCCCCAAATGTAATCAAGTACTACGGTGCTTCTAAGGTTTAGTAAATTAAGTAGGTTTTAAATCTGTGTTAATTATTTGTGCTATGTGTGGTTATCTCCAAGGAAGATCGCGTGAACGGAGGTCCCGTTTGTATAATTTGGGTTTAGTTTAAATGTTTTGAAAAATTTGTAAGCGGATTTAGAAGTTTTTACGTTTAAACGTGTAAACATCACATCTTAGTCGTACATTTGCCATGTTGGATTTGTTCTATCACATTTTAAGCAGATTGTACGACAGAAATTTGCTACATTGAACATCCCTCTTGGCTCCCAAATATTGTACACAGTTACACTGAGCATTGCTGGCCGAAAATTGCTGAAACGAGCATCCACTGAACCGAACCATCTTTTGTGGACCCCAATGTGTTTTCTTACAGCAGTATCCTATGTATTTATATTAATGAGGATTTTGGAGGATTGAGGATGAATGGTGATTGAATCAAATGAGGATTCTGGAGGATTGAGGATGAATCAAATCAAATCAAATCAATCATTGTGATTGAATCAAATGAGGATTCTGGAGGATTGAGGATGATGGTGATTGAAGCACATGAGGATTTTGGAAGATTGAGGATGATTGGTGATTGAATCAAATGAGGATTTGGAGGATTGAGGATGATTGGTGATTGAATCAAATGAGGATTCTGGAGGATTGAGGATGATTGGTGATTGAATCAAATGAGGATTCTGGAGGATTGAGGATGAATGGTGATTGAAGCACAAGAGGATTTTGGAAGATTGAGGATGAATGGTGATTGAAGCGCATGAGGATTCTAGAGGATTGAGGATGAATGGTGATTGAAGTTCATGAGGATTTGGAGGATTAAGGATGAATGCATTTTGAAGGCAGGACTGTCTGATGATTTTGGAGGATTTGGCGTTGATTATCCTTCATTTAAACACGAGTGCAAAATTTTGGGATGAGGAGGATTCTGGAGGATTGAGGATGAATGCATTTTGAGGCAGGACTGTCTAACAATTTTGAAAAATTTAGGTGGAGTTGCAAACTTTTGGAGGATTGAGGATGGTTCTAAGCAAAAAGGGCCTAGGGGGTTATTAATGCTTTAATTGCATACATTGTTAGACTTTCTTTTTGTAGCTCCATGATTGTATAGTCATTCTTCCAGAACTGTAAGTGTAAGGGTTTTAAACTAAGTTCAGGAAGTATGGTCAGGCCCTACAGGCCCCATTTTTATCTTTTGTAAATTTGTCAGTTTTTTGGGAAATTGTTCTTATATTTCACAGTAATTATTGTCAACCCAATTCTTCAAACAATGCCCTTTCCAAAAATAGCAGATGAAAACAATATTTGAACTTAACCTTATGAATTAGAAGGTAAAGATGTTAAAGTAACTTGTTTTCCTTTGTATCTTGAAGTTGACAGAGTTTGAAGGTTCTACCAAGGATGTCAACTGTGGAGCACATACAGGATGCAGAGCACACTGATGACGTATCACCATGGCAACGCGTACCGCTCAACATCACTTGAATGAGATTGTACCGTACCTGACATCATTAATTGTAAAGAGCGCCACCTGTTGTTTGGTTATCGATCAACATTAATGCAGCAGATAATGTAGCGATAGGCTATATAGGCCTGTACGTCAGGTAAGTCTGGACTATTTATTTCTCAAAATTCAACCTCTTTTCGGCGTACTGGAAAGATTCCCATTTATCTGGACATCACTAATTTTTCCCTGCAGTGACCTATATCACCATTAAAAGGGATAATATGTCCAAAAATGTTGGATTTAGCAGGGAAAAGTTGCTACCATGGCATGCCTACTGAGAAAACGTGTCAAAGGACATTTCCTAGTCTTTGTTGGTCAGTGACGTCTGAGGTATGGGTGTCTTTCTGGAGTATTTTTGAATGCTTTGCATACATTGTTGGGTAAGACCTCTTTTTATAGCTCCATGATTGTATAGTCATATAGTCAGCAGGGCCAGGGCCTATTGTTTTTAGTTGACCGCACCTACCCCAATTAAGAACCCAGTATCAATGCACACATATAGTGGTGTTCCCTAACGTGGCGCACTGCGACGTTTCTCCTTTGTTGATAAACTTCAAATTCATTCAGTTATTACTGGTACTTTTTCAGTAGTGTTTGCCATTTTAACTTCTGTAAACAATTTCACTGTCATACAATTTTGAGCAAAATTTATAAACGGTGGCGTCCGGAAATTGGGCCAAAAATCAGCTGAGTGTTCCCTAACGCAGCGGTACTTGCATAAATCTTGGAAAATTCCAGGTTAACACTAAAAAAGTGTGTGTGTTTACGTTTCTAGAGTTACTTCTACAACGACGATAGGTTCAACTACAACTATGCGCAGGCCAAAGCCACAGCAGGCAACTACAAGGAAGCAGAGGAGGTAGGTTGGACTCCCGGACCCAATTTTTGTTGTTGCGCCCTCAATAGTTGGCCAGTCATGGCGCAGTGACTCGTCATGGTGCCTGAACTAGTCATGGTGCCTTTCATTTGCAAACATCAAAAACCAAAACTGCCAAGTTATTATGAAATACCTGACTGTTAGGGAGTAATAGTCTCAAGCATCCTGTGAAATCACGGCACCTGGTGTGCTGTCATTTCCAAGAAAAGTGGAATTTTGTATCAATTTCCACCGATGGTCGGCCCTGTTTGAGAGAGAAGCCCGACTTTCTGTTCTCATCCATATACTGTTGCCATACCTAGATGTAGAACAAAAAGATATTGCAATAGCTTATTTTCCCACGTGCTGCATCTCTTTGGAATTCCTTGCCTGGTGCTTATTTCCCTCCAACCTATGATCTGTCCTGATTCAAGAGGAGTGTGGAGTGCTGTGGCCTCGTGGTTAAGGGCGTTGGATTCGTGGTCTGCGGATAAAGCTGCAGGTTGTGGGTTCGAGTCCAGCCTGGGGTCATGGTGCGTGTGCCCTTGGGCAAGGCACTTTGTCACTCATTGCTTCTCCCCACCCAGGAGTAATGGGCTATCAGCTTTGGTCCAAAAAATGGGCCACCGGTACCAGACGATCGAAAAGAGCAATGCTCATAGCGATTTTTTGAAAGGCACATCTAGAGTTGGAGAATGTGTGATAGCTTTGCAGTGTGAGTGGTGGCAGTGTTATCACTTTTGATTTGTGTTTTCAAAATTGCCGTCAATATGCTTGAACCGGATAAATTGTATGTTGTAACAAGCATGTTTTGGCTGCCATTTAACAAAGAAAAAAGTGATATCACCCATAAAGCTGCCACCGCTGCAATGCTGTCAAATATTTTCCGACTAGAGGGGTGCATATACCTTGCCAAAAATCACAATGAGCATTATTGCCCTCATTTGATACTGACCAAACCCCCACACTGATGGCTTATAAGTGGGTGCCTATGAGGGCAGAGATGGTGTGGTTGATTTAGCTGCTTTGCCCCGACTTGTGGCCCTGTATATCTGGAGTGGCTTTTAGCCTTGTTCAGGGCAAATAGGCATAAAAAAAACCAAGTCTAAAACCCGGATGGGGATCTCTCTGTGCCTCCTAGACCACTGTTTTGGTGGGAACACTTGGTTTTACCATGATTTAATTGGAGTGGGTTTCGTTTCTCTTGTTTTCCAGATTTTTGTGCTCATTCAGAGTGAGAAGATCAAGAATGACTACACGTGTCTCTGGTTGGCAAGATGCTGTGAGTATTACCGTCAATTGTGAATGACGTTTCCTCTTCCAACTTCAAAGTTGCTAATTATGGGAATGAATCCACCTGTTAAGCCTCAACTCATAATGTATTGACCACTCACAATTGTGACTGCACAACCAAATGTCCAACTAAAGTCACGACACGTCGCGTGCATGCATTTCATGTACTGCTAGAAAATCCAGAGTGGCATTAAGGAGATGCACATGTTGCCCATGTGTGAGGTAGACTGAAGGGTCTCTTACAATGACATAACCAGCATGCAATCATCGCCCTGATCGTATATTAAGGATGTGACTTTGCGTTTCATTTTGTAAACATTAAGCAAATATTTTCAGAACTGTTTTAAACGTTTAGCCATTGACAGTGGCTTTTGCCTACCCATTATGTCTGATCTGCAGACCGGCGTGATTGACATGATAAATCAACAATGGTTGACATAGTAAATAGCAGGCAGTCGTTGATAAAGTAAAAATGTAACTACGTGTTCCCCAAATGTAATCAAGTACTACGGTGCTTCTAAGGTTTTGTAAATTAAGGAGGATTTGAAAACAACGTTAATTATTTGTGCTATGCTTCTAAGGTTTAGTAAATTAAGTAGGTTTTAAATCTGTGTTAATTATTTGTGCTATGTGTGGTTATCTCCAAGGAAGATCGCGTGAACAGAACTCCCTTTTCTATAATTCTGGTTTTGTTTACATGTTTTGAGAAATTTGTAAACGGATTGAGAAGTTTTTTCGTTTAAACGTGTAAACGTCACATCTTAGTCGTACATTTGCCATGTTGGATTTGTTCTGTCACATTTTAAGCAGATTGTACGACAGAAATTTGCTACATTGAACATCCCTCTTGGCTCCCAAATATTGTACACAGTTACACTGAGCATTGCTGGCCGAAAATTGCTGAAACGAGCATCCACTGAACCGAACATCTTTTGTGGACCCCAATGTGTTTTCTGACAGTAGTATCCTATGTATTTATAACCTTTCTTTGTGTTGTTTTCGTTGTTCAGACATCATGAATTGTAAGGCCAGACTAGCCTGGGAGTTGTACCTTAAGGTGGAGACGTCTGGCGAATCGTTCAGCCTGCTGTAGCTCATTGCCAACGACGGCTACAAGGTAAAACATCATCCCCTAATTTTGTCCGTTGTATGTTTGGTCAAGATTTTGGCATTAGCCCCAAATTAGTATCCAGTCACTCAATCTCAACCTGCAGCCGATTTCACGAAACAGATTTGTCACTTCGTCCAAACGCAAATCGTAGAGGAGACATAAATCTAAATATAACGCAAGTGTAGAAAAGAATGCAGTATCCAGACACTACTTCAGCAGTTGTGTACAAAGTCGATGGAGAGTCAAGAAAACTTTCCAAGTATTTCTGAACCAAATTGGAAGTGTTTCTCAGTCCCAGATTCATGTTTGTGAAACATTTCTGCAATGACTGATCTTTATTGAGATGACGTGTGAAGACAAATGTTGCGTCAGGTTGCAACATTGTTTCCACGTGTAGAATAAACGAGAATAAGTGACGAATCTCTGTCAAATCGGGGGGAAAAAACTGATTCATTGCACATTTACCACTTTGAACCACCTTGAATAATGAAGTATGCACTTTTGTGTTGCAAACTTTGATAAACATGTAGAGGGCATCATAAAATATTAGAATAGCCAAAAATCCCAAACTGCTTCAAATATTGATTTTGGACAAATTCATCACTTTAACATCTTATAAAAATTCATCACTTTGTCAACACGGTGGGGATATGATAGAAAACTTCAGGCTTTTGGTTCGAACTGCTGATTTTTTTGCTCGACCTCAAATAATTGTCACGGTCTCTTCTCAATTTTCATATTCCAACTTTTCTATCAGCAGATGGGCCAGTTTTACTATGCAGCTAAGGCTTCCGATGTAAAGATTGGACACCAATCCTGCATACTGGGAAGGCAAGCGAGGGGCGTGCGTGGGCGTATTCCAGCAGATCATAGCTGGCCATGAACCAAGGTGGGTGTCATCTCTGTCAATCAGCAGTGCACACTGACCAATTACATCTCAACCTTTGGTCAGGTGACCACAGTACATCGATCAAACAGTGCGTACTGACCAATTACATCTCAATTAGTATATCACTCCGGTGCTCTACCAACTGAGCTATCCAGCCCAATGTTGGCGGTTCCCTAATTGTCAATGTCTCTGTCAAAGGGGCGCTAGTCAGAAGCCCTCAACCCGCATATGCCATGCAGCCAGGGATCACGCCCAAAGTCACGATGCAGACCTGGCAAATATCAAGCGGGGATCACTCAGAGAGGATACGGCTTTTTATTACAAATTTTCATGAATACTTTGCAACTTCTTAGCCCTCTAGTTCAAATTCATTGATCTTTATGGATTTTTCCTTTTTCCCCCTAAATTCTATAAACAGCTTTCATTTTCACTATTAGGTTTTGCCCTTCACTGACGTATAAACACTGTATACTCAGTGCGTTACCTCCCGAGTTAAAGTTGAAAAAATTACTCGGTTGGGACTCGAACCCATGACCTCCTGCTTGTTAGTGCAGACGTCTTAACCACTGGACCATCAAGCTTACAGAATTGGTTGCCTAGCCAGCCAACCAACCCCGTAAGCTCCATGGTCGAGTCGTGGGTTCGAATCCCACCCAAGTGATTATTTTTCAACTTTCACTCGGGAGGTAACACACTGAGTATACAGTGTTTATACATCGGTGAAGGGCAAATCCTAATATTGATTGACATCGCCTCGACGCAAAGTCCATCTTGTTAATAGCTTTCATTTTCATGTGCACAAAACCCAGTGAAGTTCAAGCCACTAGATTTTTGTCATTTTTTTCCTCTACAGAGAAACACTGCGAGACATCCTCCAAATCTTGCGCAACACCGGTAACCCGCAGGTGGAATACATCATCCGTGTCATGAAGAAGTGGGCCAAGGACAACAGGGTACCAGTTTCCTGAGGTGGTCCCTATCCTAGTCTTGAGATTGTTTAAATTTGTACATTCCAAAAAACCCTGCTTCGCAAAGGGATTTTGAAATAATGGAATGGTACTGTTGATTAATTTAAGAGTGATTTAATTGTTCGTCACGTTGGGAAATTTGCCTTGGAATATTTCTCTATTTAGCTTTGGCAAGGTGGTTATGCAGGAGAAAACAACAGTTCTGGAGAGAGGCTAGTCTCTCATGGCATAAACAAAGTAGGCTTGCCTAGTTAAGCTGGACTCTGTGACTCAGTCAGTGACTTGGTCAGTGACTCAGTCAACAACTCAGTGACTCGATCAGCGACTCCGTGATTCAGTCAGTGACTCAGTCAGTGACTCAGTCAACAACTCAGTGACTCGATCAGCGACTCCATGATTCAGTCAGATTCGGTCAGTGACTCAGTCAGTGACTCAGTGAGCGACTCAGTGACTCGATCAGCGACTCAGTGATTCAGTCAGTGACTCAGTCATTGATTCGGTCAGCGACTCGGTTAAGGAATCACTCAGTGACTCATTGAGCGACTCAGTGGCTGTCATCAACTCAGTGTCTTGGTCAGTGACTCATCGCGCAGTCAGTGATTCGGTCAGTGACTCGGTCAGTCAGTGATAATAGTGACTGACTCGATCAGTTAATACTCAGTGACTCGGTCAGACAGTCAGTCAGGCAGCATTGAAATGTTCATCATAATTATGAATGTTCACGTCACAAATGTTGCTTACATGTAGGACAACTCTGCAAGTTTGTTTTCTTGGAGTTTCTGGGGCATGTTTAGAGACAACCCAACGGCATGAGAATGGGCCAGGAATGGTTATTCAAGGAGGGGGGTAGTCATCTGTACGTAATGTAATTATACTAATTAATGGTTTATATTGATATAAATATACATGTACAAGTTTTCAGAGCACGTTTGTCAGGTAATTAGGGTGTAAGGTCCAGAAGGCAGGAAACAAATTGAAAATAAGTGATTTGAACCGAGCCCAATTTCATAGCGCTGCTTAGCACACAATTTCTGCCAGCAGAGCCTCTCCGTCTATATTACTGAGACTGTAAGCAGTAAACAAAAGGCATGCTAATACCTCAGAGAAACAATTTGCTTAACTTACCGTAAGCAGTAAACACAGCAATAGGGACGCTAATACCTCAGAGGAACAATTTTCTTAAATTACCGTAAGCAGTAAACACAGCAATAGGGACGCTAATACCTTAGAGAAACAATTTGCTTAACTTATCATAAGCAGTAAACACAGCAAAAGGGACGCTAATACCTCAGAGGAACAATTTGCTTAGCTTTTGACGTAACAATGTACATGTAGATCTCAATGCGTGCTGAACCGTTAGCACATCCACGCCATGAGTGCTTAAGGATGGTACAGTTCTGCTGTAGTAATATGAGCACAACTTTTCTGGTAACTGTTAAGCAGCGCCATGCAATTGGGCCCAGGTTGTATTCAAGTCCCGAGTCCGCACAAATCCTTGAAAGTCAATCTTGTCGTCCATGTCCCAAGTCAGTTTCAGAAATTTCAATCCAACAGAATCTTTCTCAAAGGCAATCTATCACATTGTCAATACTATATTTTTTTTCATGTACAATATTGGGAAAGAATGTTGCAACCTGATGCTGCTTTTTCTTCATATCATCTCAATGAAGTCATCCATTGCAAAAATGATGGTGGGTCATTCCATGTCAGACCAACGCACTTTTTTACCTCATGTCTTCCGATTTTGATTATAATTGCTGTGCTTGTAGGTCCTAATGAGCAATGAATACACACCAATTTTTAGCCCGATCCGACCTACCATGTGGTCAGGGCAGAAGCCACAAAAAATGGCATTTTTAGAGTAAAATACCACCCTTTTGGTATAAATATGTCAAAACTATGGCAATTTTCATCGAATATATGTGAATTTGGTATTAAAATAATGAGGATTGCATGCTCAAAGCACTTCTTTTGTCAAAATTATATTTTGTGAAAAGTAGGTCACATGACCTTTAATATGCTATCGTGACCTTTGACCCATTTTTTGTAATAATGTATCATTCCGAAAATCAACGAAATCAAAATAACTTGCTAGAGCATGTCTTCCTCTATCAGAATCTACTAAACATCAGTTGGGGTCTTCAAAATTTACAACTTTATGACTATTTTTGTACAGTTGGTAGGTTACAAATGAGTCAATTTATAGACTTTACATAAGAAATACACCAACACAACTTACTATTCTGTTTCTAAAGTTACTAAAATATATCTTGGTTTGTGAATTTCTCATTCTGAGGGCTGATGAGGTCTAACCAGACTCATAGTGTAGATTATCAGCAGTGGCGCACCCAGGATTTGGCTTTTGGTGGGGGGGGGGTCATAAATCGTTTTTTTGTTCAAATTTCTGTTAAAGATTGGACCAACAAAAACTAGCCTAAAATCAAACAAACAAATTGACAATGTTGGGGGTATGTTCAAGCCCCCCCCCCCCCCCCCCCTCCTGGGTGCCACTGATAATTAGTTATCCCACGAGCGCGCTTGGAACATGAAATAATGCAATGCTGCTGTGACCCATATGCCACTCGATGCACTACATAATTCCGTGTTCCACGAGCGCAAGTGGGATTTATAACCAATTTATCTTCAAGCAAACTTGATATCAAATGCGTACACGCGGTGAAGATGATATGTACGTGCATACATGTACTGTTTTGGTCCGTTCTGCAGGAAATAACACAACATATGTACACGTACATTTCTAATATCTGGGGTGCAATATAGCTGTGCAATATTAAAATCACACAGTTGTTGCTATAGATGGACTAATCAGGGTCTAGGATTCAAGTTTGCTTGAAGATATACTTAATATTACAATCAAAGTTACCTTTACTCATTCATCACTGTGCTTCTTGAACTTTAATGACTCTCACAGACTTGGCATTTTGTTTCTTTGAGATGAATTTCACCTGGACGTGAGTCCGCTGTACTGGGTGAAGGCCTGGTAACTGTTAGTGGTTAGCACACTTCCGAGTCCAGATATTCTGATTAGACAGTTTCTTTGGAATCAGAAGGTAGAATTTTGTTTTTCCTGGCTTTGTACTTTATACATAAAAATCTAGATTAATTTTAGTAACTTAAGAAACAGAATAGTAAGTTGTGTTGGTGTATTTCTTATGTAAAGTCTATAAATTGACTCATTTGTAACCTACCAACTGTACAAAAGTAGTCATAAAGTTGTAAATTTTGAAGACCCCAACTGATTTTTAGTAGATTCTGATAGAGGAAGACATGCTCTAGCAAGTTATTTTGATTTCGTTGATTTTCGGAATGATACATTATTACAAAAATTTGGTCAAAGGTCACGATAGCATATTAAAGGTCACATGACCTACTTTTCACAAAATATAATTTTGACAAAAGAAGTGCTTTGAGCATGCAATCCTCATTATTTTAATACCAAATCCACATATATTCGATGAAAATTGCCATAGTTTTGACATATTTATACCAAAAGGGTGGTATTTTACTCTAAAAATGCCATTTTTTGTGGCTTCTGCCCTGACCACATGGTAGGTCGGATCGGGCTAAAAATTGGTGTGTATTCATTGCTCATTAGGACCTACAAGCACAGCGATTTTTATTAAAATCGGAAGACATGAGGTAAAAAAGTGCGTTGGTCTGACATGGAATGACCCTGGTAGGACATGAATCTGGGACTGAGAAATACTTTTTTTCTTGACGCTCCATAGACTTTGCACACAACCGCTGAACTGGCGTCTGGTTGCAACATTCTTTTCCAATATTGTGTGATATTCTGACTTCATTTCTTTATTTCATCTGTAAAAACATTAAATGTTTACTGCCTTTCTTTAAAGGGAAGATACAACATTTGCAAACATCACAAAACGAAATGATCAAATTATCGCGAAATACCTTGCTGGATTGTTGGGGAATGACAGTCTAAAGCATACTGTAAAATTGTGGCTCCTGATGTGCTGACATTTTAAAGAAAAATGGTACTTTTCCAACGCTGGTCAGCCGACAAGCATTGGAGAAAACTGGCTATTTTTCAAAAATTGCTCCCAATTTTTTTATAATTAGTTATTCCGCATTTTCTTTGCAATTGATTATACACCTGTGAAGAGGTATAAGTCTGCTAGACTGATTCTCTGACCTTACAATTCCCCAAAGTCTATTAATTGCTCCGTTTTATCTTAAAAGTGGGGTCACCAGACTGCAAATACATGTCTGGTTTTCTTGGCTTTTCCAGCATCTACAAGCCCAAACGTGAAAAAAGTCATTTTAACAATATTTGCTAAAACATACTAATCCTCCAAATCCATTTATTTCTGAAAATTGCAGCGAAAGCAAATGTTGTACATGCCCTTTAAGTCCGATAAATCTTATCTTGCAGTGTAAATATTGTGTAGGTGAATTTTAAAAGTAAATGTGTACTTAAAATGTTGTTGAAATGCTGTGCATAGTTCTTTGAATAAAGGGATATTAAATCATCACAATAAATAAAAGTGAAAAAAAATACCTGTTTGTTATTGATTTGTTTGTTTTCTTGGTAGTTTGTTTGGGATTCTGAAAACAAAACTTCAGTTTATTTAAAAGATAAGTTTAGTAAATTTATGTTTGGGCATGGGGCTATAAAAAGTTGGGAAGGTAAAAAAAGAAAGAATAATATAATTATGGTGGGACTCGAACCTGAGTCGCCTGATTGAGAGTCCTACGCCGGTCCACAAGACCATTAACGCACTCAAATGTTATACTAGTTCTGCTTAATTACAATTGTAAGATAGGCTTATCGTGGCTTTTCACGTTGACGCCCATGCACGCTTAGACGTAAAACACAGTCTGACGATGTAAAACATTCGTTAGATTTTGGGTGTAGCTGTTCTAATCGATCTAAATTTAATTGGAAAAGGGTAAAGGGTGTCAACTGAACTAAAATCCTGAAATTCAATGAAATAAAACTCGTACAATCCTTGGTTTCAGTTTGAAACACACGTGTTCAACGGATGCAGAGAAGCCTATTTCTTTTGTTAAATTCTATTGTTGAATCTTGCGTTAACAATAAAATGTTTCCATTGAGGCGAAAGGATTAAACGCCGCGATCTTTTTTCACGCTTGAGTGCATCTGAATGGGGAATATTGAAGCGGAAAATCACGATTTACAGCACTTAGGCAGCATTTTATCCCACATAATGATACTTTTTGAAGAGGAAATTGCATACTGAATACATCTATAGTTTTAAAATGCCAAAATTCGCCTTATTTAAAAAGTCGAGGTAATTTTTTTGGAAAAATTTCACCCAAACTTTCCTCATCCTGACGTAGGCGGCGCTTTATATATTTCATTCACAGTGCGTGCATTGTTATCGCGCTAGCCGCCGCCCCATCTGAGTATCACCCGCTATCCACTGTACCCAATCTTATCCTAGCATCACAATTTCAATTTATCTCACCAATAAAAGTTGAATAGGTCTACAACTAAAACAATAGATAATTAAGGTCTGTGAAACAAAATGCAATCAGAATAAAAGTCAACTTTAATGGAACAAAAGAGACGCGTATAAGGATATTAATAAAAGGGCCCCGGTATACCCATGAAGCAAGAGGGGGGCGGGAATTTGTTTTGTCGTGTGAGATGGGGGGAGGGGGGAACAAGCGAAATATTTTTACTAAAAGTCGTTAGTGGAAAAATGGTTTTAAAAAAGGGTTATAAACCGTACATGTATACATAATAGGCAGCCAGCCCCGCCCCCATCCCCTTGCAATGCCATACACACACGCTAATGCGCTAGCCAACTCTGAATACGGTGCACGTGCGAGAATGAAATGTATATAGCGCCGCCTACGTTCGGATGAGGAAAGTTTTAGTGAAATTTTTCCAAAAAAAATACCTCGACTTTTTAAATACGGCGAATTTTTGAGTTTTGAAACTACAGTTGTATTCAGTATGCAATTTCCTCTCCAAAAAGTATCATTATGTGGGATAAAAATGCTGCCTAAGTGCTGTAATTCGTGATTTTCCGCTTCAATATTCCCCATTCAGAGGCACTCAAGCGTGAAAAAAGATCGCGGCGTTTAATCCTTTCGCCTCAATGGAAACATTTTATTGTTAACGCCAGATTCAACAAAGGAATTGAACAAAAGAAATGGGCTTCTCTGCATCCGTTGAACACGTGTGTTTCGTACTGAAACCAAGGATTGTACGAGTTTTATTTCATTGACGTTCACGATTTTAGTTCAATTGACACCCATCACCCTTTTCCAGGTAAATTTCGATCAACGTGAACAGCTACACCCAAAATCAAACGAGTGATTTACATTGTCAGACTGTGTTTTACGTCTAAGCGCTTCATGGGCGTGTACGTGAAAAGCCGCGATAAGCCTATCTTACAGTTATAATTAAAGAGAACTAACAGAGTATTTGAGCGCGTTAATGGTCTGCTGGACCGGCGTAGGACTCCCAATCCATCGACTCAGGTTCGAGTCCCACCATGATTATATTGATACTTAGTTTTCTTCTTTTTTTTCTTTCCCAAAAATAAATTTTTATCTTCCTTTTTTAAAGTGAAGTTTTGTTTTCAGAATCAAATACATCAAAAATATAAACACTAAAATTGTATTTTATATTCTTCTCTCATTTTTAAAATATTATTTAATCCTCCATCCATGATAGGATTAAGAAATTGAAAACTAAAGAAGAGACAAGTTTGGATTTTTTTTCTGAAAATGATTTTCATTTTAATTCTGTCAACTGCGTTTAACACTTTATATGAAACTTAACACATAGTTATCACTGACTGTGTTATTATTGAAATATATGAAGAGCATTTTATTGCAAAAATGAAACATATGTTAAGGGTAGATATAACATTTGCAAGCATAAAAAAACGACATGGTCAAATTTTCACGAAGTACTTCACTGGATTGTTAGGGAATGACAGTCAAAAGCTTAGCATCCTGTAAAATCATGGCTCCTGGTGTGCTGACATTTTCAAGAAAATTTTTATTTTTCCAACACTGGTTAGCCAACCAGCATTGGGAAAAAAGTGGCTTAAAAAAACAGTTCCTAATTTTTCATGTTTAGTTAATTCGCGTTATCGTTGCAATTGAATTACACAATGGTGAAAGGGTACAAGCCTTCTAGACTTATTCTCTGACCTTACAATTCCCCAAAGTCTACCTATTGCTCTGCTTCATCTTAAGTGGTTCAGGGAACCAGACTACATGAACATGATTGGTTTTCTTGGTTTTTCAGCATATACAAGCCCAAAACGTGAAACAAGTCAGTTGAACAATATTTGCTATAACATAATAATCCTCCAAATCCATTTATTTTTGAAAATTGCAGCAAAGGCAAATGTTGTACATTCCCTTTAACCAAAACATTTCACGCATATCAGTACTGCATGCGTACAGTTAAAAAAAAAACAATGATAAGGACCAGTAACTGGGTTTTGGCATTAAAGATGACTCATTGTCCAAAATCAACAAATTATTTTGTTTTCCAATTACCAATTTTCCATCTTTTTGTTATTTTAACAGAAGAAAACAACTCTTTTGTTCTGTTTTGGGACATTTACAACCCTCAGAACAAGTAGCATTTAATTTGGCAGCTTTTCCATGCAAACAGGCCCCCTACCCTACTGAGTACACGAGACTGTTTGCCTGCATTATCATTTCTGACAGGGATATCGGGAACCAGTTTTCCCTACAAGAACTGACTTATTACAGGGCTACATATAATGACAATCTAAGTATAATTTATTACATAACCAAATATGGGCCAAATTTGTTGTTCTCATGCAAAAGTGCATACTTTTTGTATTGTTTGAATATACAGCAATAAAGAACTTTTCTTGGGGGTCGGAGTCTCAGTAATTGCACAGACTGTGGTTATAAAAAAAATCTAAATTTCATGTATGTAGACGCCTACTAAGGAAATAGGAAATATACTGAAATAACAGCTAACATTGACCCAGGATCGCATGGACCAACAAAGGGCATGAAAACGACTCTTCTCAACTGTTCTCAGACTTTAATTTAAAATTATATCCAAGTGAGAGATATTGAGGCTGTGTTCAATCGATGGGTACGATGCACCCATACCCAACCTTGCGTCATTCAATGACTGTTTATTGCCTGTAAGCAAGTAACTGAAAACTTGGTAAAAGGAATTACAGGGAGCACAATATTTGAGTGAATAACCAAACCACATTACTCTGAGTTACTAAACATGCAAAACAATCTAAACCGCATGGATGTTTATTGAAGGCAGGACCAGTCCAATTCAGTCCAGGATCTGCAATCCAGTATCCTAACTGGTTCAGCATCTGCAATCCAGTATCCTAACTGGTTCAGCATCTGCAATCCAGTATCCTAACAGGTTCAGCATCTGCAATCCAGTATCCTAACTGGTTCAGCATCTGCAATCCAGTATCCTAACTGGTTCAGCATCTACAATCCAGTATCCTAACTGGTTCAGCACCATGTGATAGCTGGGTGACCCTCTCGATGATCTTATCCTGTCTCTCTCCACCAACCTGCTGATCAAATTTCTGCAGGAAACAGTCTGGATGCCACAGCAGCTGCACGGAGCGTACAAACCCCCACAGCCCGGCAGCATCATCGCTGAACATAATGTAACGCATCAGCACCTGGAACAATCTTGTCTGAGACTGAGTTGCCATGATGAAACAGTCACGGCATGTCCTCCATGGATCCCAGCTGAGTCAACTACTGTTCCTATACTTGCACTAATAGCATCTTGTTACACAACTGTAGATACTCATCCTGTGTCACTGTCTTTGTTCTTTGTCTCAGCTTGTCTAATTCCTCTCTGCTGTATCGGACAGCTGAGACCCCTTGTATCGCTGCTGCTGTTCTGTCAGTGATCTGCTGCTATGGCGGCTCAGTCGTCAAATGAATCCTGATGATTAAATACATCATAAAAAAAAATAATTCTGAAATAATTTATAATATGTGAATCTTCGTTTTGACAAAAAAAATCACTGACATCTTTGCTTTATTCAGACTAAGTTTTCCACAGGGAAAGTAACATATATTCCAGGGTTTTAGTAAAAATACCTCCATCGAGCTTCATAAACAGCCCCAACAACTTCAACAAGCATGATACTCAAGTTGCTAATAAGAGTTGCAATAATAGGCGTCAGCTATTTGGTTCGACTTACAGTCAAGAAAGCGTACGTAGTTTTTTTTCCTCAAAAGCTTCTTGAAAGCCCGGAACGCACCCACTCCTTTGATTAACTTTTTGGAACCGAAATATAAAATCTGTGTCGCCAACATACCCTGCAGTCCTATAATAAACCCACACTACTGGGACCTGGCATGGAGTGCTCTGAAACATGCAAAACACAGTATTGATGAGAGTTCCAAATTTTCGGACAAGCATAAACCTGCGGAAAGAATTTTGCAACCTGACGCTGCCGTTTCCTTCATATATCATCTCATTGAAGGACAGTCATTGCAAAAATGATGATAAGACATGAATCTGGGACTGAGAAACATTTCCAATTTTAATGTTAAGAAATACTTCAATTTTCTTGACTCACCATAGACTTTGTACCGCTGAAGTGGCGTCAGGTTGCAACATTCTTTCCATGTCTGCTCCCCATTGGAGATCAACCTGCTATCTGTACTGCCATCAATTGCATCATATGCTGCATTCCTCTGACTCTGTGTCTTGCATCACTGGCTGCTCATGGCATGCACGTCATCAATTTCTATTAAAAACCATAGGATACAGACAGAAAGGCACTTGTATTACATAAATAAAGTCACAGTGAGTTGCTATTTGCTGGGCGTGTTTTCTTAGTTGAACCTAGCCCGAAAATTAGGGACTGTCCATGCAAACTCAAGTCAAAGTCTAGCCCGACTGCGTCTGGCCGTACAGTACTATCGCAAGCTCTGTAGTACGGTCAGATTATCTTTTCGTCCAGGACACAAATTTCCATCCACAAAATGTAGGTGGGTTTAACGCAAAAAATAACGGGCAATTTTGAGTCAACTTTCACACTCGGTTTCCACAAGATAACTGAAGAAATATCTGTTGCATTAACTTAGAATGTATTCCGGGATCCCTTTGCAAGTTTTCCAACAACTTTGGGGCAATTTAGATTTTTTGTTTTTTCCTCAATAAAAAAATACAAGAGGTTAGGCCAAAAAAAAAAGTCTCCGGTTTCTGGTATGGAGCTTGCCCAAAAAGTGGTGCGGCGGCGCGGCTTTTTTTTTTTTTTTTACCTGATTTTTTGGGTTCAAATGTCGGCTGATGACTGCAAATGGTGCCCGAGAGAGGCCACATAAAGCTTATTCTCGACCATAACCCAATCTAAAAACACGTTAAAATTGTGCAGCAGCAGGATTCAAGTCAAACCAGTGAGTTTGGCGGTTTTGAGACATCATGTTTCATAAAAAAAAAAAAAATTCATTTTGCCGACGCGCATGGCTACGGCGACGCGCGCATACCAGAAACCGGAGCCTTTTTTTTGGGCCTTAGCCTCATATTTTTAATTCAATTTGGCAAACAACAAAAGCTTTTCTCCAAAACAATTATGCAAACATTCCTTGGAAAGTAGGAGAAGCTTCGACCAACATTCATCGACCCATTTTGTTTTTTAAATATCAACCACATATAACCTTATATGGTAAGGAATTATTTTGTTTCCCCTTCTTTTCTTGCGCAGTTTTATCAAACGAAAAGCAACGATTTCTGATTTCGCAATCTACCTGAAACGAAAGCTGGACATTGTTCGTTGTGCAATTTTCTGAACGACATAGACACATTGGTTGCGCAATGCATTCCAAACGACGCGGATACGTCTTGAGACCATGATTATGTGCACCAAGTATAAAGCATGTTATCTTCTAGAAATAAAATCAAAAATATTTTGAGTGTTATTTTTAATAAGAATGTCTTTTATTTCAAGTCACTACCACTATCTACCACTATAGCTATAGTACGCGGGTATGTATACATGCATTTTGGAACAGTGCCCTCAATAGTCAGGTAGCGTCTAGCCCAACCCCCTCCACCCCAGCTTTTCAAACTTTCCAAGTTGGTGGCTCCGCAAATATGAACAAGAGATTGCCTCTGCTGGTCAAGAGGCCTAACTGTAGCCTTTCCACAAGGTCATCCTGACAAGCGCCGGCAGTTAACCGAGGGACGAAACAGCGAGGCGTTTTGAACGGCGACTTGACACACGTCGAGTGAGCTACAAGCGAGGTTTTCCAAATCCTAGCTTCATTCCAATACCGGATCCAGCTCTATTGCCAAGCCGCATGCCCGAAACCGGTTTACGGAACGAAGCCGGAGTTTGAGAAACGCCGGTATGTCTCATGACCTCGATGACTTTCGGTCGTTTTGTAAACATAGGCTTCGTGCCCGGCTTCGGAACAAGGCCATGTAAGGCCCCTAATCAGACAAGTGGCTTTGTCATTTACTTGCATGGTATGGTCCCACTGGTATGGGGGAGGGGAGGGGGAAGGGGGAATGTGGTCGTTCAACTATCCCACCCCACCCCCATCGTCGCTACGTCATTGCTTCAGAGATTATTATAAATCGAGGTGGTTCGCAATACAGAATGGCAAACTCTGGTGTGATTTGTCCGGATATCACCAGGGCTAGTTCAGGGTGAATCGTGCGCTTTATGCGGAGGCCACAAACTAGCAAATGTAGGAAGTCTGGTCGTTCCATACAAGCCTTTCTAGTTTAAATCACTTAACATGCTTTATTGGAACTGTGTCATTACTTTAGGTAGTGAGCGTTTGCTTTTTAGGTCCATCATCACCGGTCATACATTCTAACATTTCTGGAAATGATTATTCGAACTGGGAGATATTCAAGTGTAAAAACCTTTTCCACATTTAGAAGGCCACGATTATACACGGGCCGTATATGATGCGTAAAGTTCATGGAAGTTTATTTAACTGTATTTTATTTCCTCAAAGTCCCAATCAATGAGCAAAGCCTACCTCAGGGGCATAACTACGGGGACACGGGGCATTTACCCCACCCCCTGTGGAAGCCGGCCCCAGCCCTCCCCCGCCCCATTTTGAAAACCTGAATTAAAACATTCACTGTAAGCTGTAATAATACGTTTATTTTGCATTTAGTGCAGCCTTTGAAAAAAAACCACGCACCTCAGGTGCCCTACCCCAAGTTAAACCCAAGTTTCTCCGCTGGCTTGAGTACGATTTAATTCCTCATAATCCCGAATATATCCACACAATTTAATAGACTGAAGCGCCAACTGTACATTGAATGAATCACGGCCGGTGTATACGTCACTTGTCTATCCACCAATCACAGTTTGTCGGTGACAAGTTGGTGACGACAAGTCGGTGACCACAAGTGAGTGGTCTGTGACTGACAGATTGTGTGTGTCAATCATAAATTCCATATTTGGATGTGTCACCGACATCCATACAATATCCACCAATAAGAAGCGGCCATTTCAATCTCGGTGACTAGTTTTTATGGTGACTATATAGCCTCAACGACATTAACATTGCTTTCATATCATTAATATGAAGCGAGTCGGTGATGTGTGATTGACAGCGCACAGGAGCCATGCAATCACAATCCAGGGTCCGAGTGTTTAGTCACTGCTCAGGAAATCGATGGCACTATTTAAGACATGTGGGGCCGTCCACCCTTCACATCAACCACAGGTCACCTTCGGACGACAACCAGAGAGAGAACTGACTGCAAGAACAAGATTTTGCTCGGTGAGTGTTTGAAACAATCATTTTTCCTCTGAAGAAATTTGTTGTTTTTGCACAATGTGTTTGAATCAATGCGGGATTCAGTTTTTGTTGAATGTTGCTGATTCAATGATTCTCCAAACAGCGAGCCCGGTGGTAGGCTTGATATTTTCCCGTCTTTGTGTGCTTGTGAAAATGTGGTAGCTTGAGGACTGAAAAAAACCCCAAGATTTTTATGAACAAATTGTTCTTTTTTATTTCACTATGACTCTAATACACGTCTGCTAACAGCAAAACCAGCGCGCTAATTCCGATCCAGAAGTTGTGCCTTTTCCCAACGACCACTTTGGAGTTGATAAAGTATTGCGATAATTTACAAATGTGTTTGAAATTAACTTGTTCAGACGGACTTTGTTTGTGCATAACATTCACTAAGCCCGTCTGAAAGAGTTAATTTCAAACACTTTTGTAAATTATCGAGCTATTTTATTTCAGCTCTTATAATGTAAACAGTTGGTGCGGATGCAGACCACGGTTTTGCGAGTTCAAATTTCAAGGCAATAAAAATGAGGAATTCCTGTCTGGCAATATTTCCGCTACTACTTCCATTGTGCACTCTCAAAAACAAATTGTCCAAATACTTACTGGTTTCTTTACTTCTTGAACAAAAATCATTTGGATTCTTGTCGATATGGATAATACACTACGAAGTCACATTTATGGACTTTTTTAAATTTAGGTTCGACTGTTAGGTTGGACTGTTTTCTGACCGCAGTTTTTCGCAAGTATAAAACATCAAGTTCCCTGCTGTGATTCAGAACAGTAAAGATGTATTGATCATTCAAAATAATATTTCAGAGGAACTACAAAAAACAAGGCTCGCAAAACCTGGACTCTTTATAACCTGGCCAATGAAATCCTAGTGCAATGTACTCACATTATTTCCGGATATCACTCAAACTCAATCAGAATGAAAAGTTATGCGGAATTTGGTCACGGAAGAACGTATACAGGTTTCCGGACATCTCAAAATGCCGGTCTTATTTGTGTTATTATTTGTGGGTATTCTCAGTGCCTTTGAACTTTGTTGTTCAACTGGCATTTTGCTATAGTTCACAGTGCGCCATTCCGGTTTCATCAAGTTACTTTTAAGCATTGCAGGATAAAAGTGTCACTGGTCAGAATAGACTAGAGGGTGCAAATACAAACGCACTGGATCATGATGATGCACACAATTTTATACAAGTTCAATAGCTGGATGCATTTTGTAGAATTCATGGATAGATTTAATTTTTGGAGAACGCATTTGAGATAAATAGTCAACCCAAATTACATTTTCACTGTACAGACATTTTTTTGGCCGTATTGTACTTGTGGAATTCAACTATGCCTCCCCACCAGACTCCAAGTTATCTCCTAGAGGATTTTTAATGACTCATATTTTTGTTGGTATTTGTTTTCAGCCAGCAATCCGCTCAAGTGTTGACGAGTGCTTCTGCGAGAGAATTCAAGAACTGTGCTTAGGTGAGTGTCTGTTGACATTTTCTTCATTCAAGCATCAGAATAGAGCAGTGATTTGGTAGGAGACTGTTCCTTTTTTTCTATGCATTTAATCTTTTTGGTCCAAATTAGAAACCAGAAAACGTCATTCAATTACCTCTACGAAAAAAATAATCCTGGCCATGATGGTTAGTCTTCTCAATTATCCCTTCTAAAAAAAAATCCTCCAAGCCATAGTCTCCTCAATTATCCCTTCTAAAAATATCCTCCTAGCCATGATGGTTAGTCGCCTCAATGATCTCATCTAAAAATATCTTCCAAGCCGTGATGCTTTGTCTGTTCAATAATCTCGTCTAAAAGAATTCCTCCAAGCCATGATGATAACTATCCTAAATTATTATCAACTC